TCCTAATGAAAAAAAAAATATAACCACTCCTGATATCAATCATTCCCTTTCTTCCTTCTTATTACGGAGGAGGAAAAGGAGGGGAGGCGTGTCGCTCGCCCAGAAGGTTGCACCGCGGTGGCACCAAGCCTGCGCCGACCGGCCCGGCGGGCCGCGAGAGGGAGAGTAGCGAGGTTCCGAAACCGCACCCGAGGTCGAGAACTAGAGGGAGCCGCGGGTCGTCGAACCCTCCCAGGGCGAGCGCGAGTGCCGCGTCCGCGTCCGCGTCTCGCGGCGGCGCCTCCTTTGGCAGTGCCGCCGCCCGCCTCCAGAGCCAGCGCAGCGGCCGCGGCGAACCGAACGACAGGCCACGGAGGGAGGCTGCTGCCGCTGCGTGCGCCGCGCCGCCGCGCTCGAGCGCCGCCGCCGCGCGTGCAAAGGCTGCGCCTCCGAGGCCGGCGGCGGCCAGGCGCTCGCACACTTGCAGGCTGACTAGCGGCTGCGGCCTGCGCCAGCGGTCAAACTCGGCCGCCTGCGCTGCGGCCAGCGACTCCAGCAGCGGCGCGCTCTCGCACCCTGCGAGCGCAAAGTCGAAGGCCGCGTCGGCAGCCACCCGGCCGAGCAGCGGCTCACCCGCAGCGCACAGCGCCAGCGCCTCGTCGCTGAGCCGCGAGACGGCCGCCCGGTCGGTGTGGCTCTCGAGAGCGGTCCGCGCGAGCGCCGTCATGGGAGAGGCGCCGCCGCCGTCTCGCCGGCTGACAGAGTACTCCCATGTCGTCCCACCTCCGAGGCAGTCCTGAAGCTTAACGCCGCCTGCCTCCAGCCGCTCCTTCAGCGCGTCGGCGGCGGCGTAGTTGCGCGAGGCTCGGGCTTCGCACCGGCGCTGCACGAGCTCGACGACGGTGGTCGATGGGAGCCTGGACGCAGGGACGAGATCGCCCCTCATGTTGGCGTTGCCCGCTCGGATGACTCGGGGGGGCGGCTCGCCCCTCATGAGGCTTGCGGCACGGTCCAGGCCGACCACACAGAGCACCCGAGGCAGCTGGCGTGGCCTCACTCACTCATGACCGCTCGTACCCGTCGGCGGGGCCAGGTTTCACAACTCGCCTCATTTTTGGCACCCTCCTGCTAGCCGCGCATGAGTAGGGAGACCGTGTGTGGTGTCTTCGCGGCCTAGAGCACCCTCTTGGCAGTCTATATTCCGGATTTTAGCCCTCCTGTCGCATCTGGTGAGCCGTACCATAGCGAGGACCAAACGTGTTGTGAAACCAAAGCACGGAGGACCTGTACGGTGGGAACGTGAAGCTGGCAGGAGTGTGGCGCCTGGCAAAAGGTGGCCCGCAGTCCGCCTGCCACCCACAGCTCCTTACCATCCCACCCGAACGAGCCACTCGCTTTACTGTGCTGCGTGAGCACCTCGGCGAAGGCAATTGTGCCGCCAAATAACAGCGACGCGTGGGCGTGGTTGACGCTGGCAAGTTGAACGTCAGAGTAGCCGTCGCGCGAGGGCTTCTCGCCCGTTAACATGGACTGCACGGCGTTAAGCATACCGACACTCGGCGGGACACAGCAGCGGCCTGTGCTGCGCCTGTAGCGGGCGGCGCGCTGTGCGTTCGTGCGTCGCCCCTCCTTCAAACAAAACACGGGCAAACTGAAGTTCTAGAGTGTTCCAGGGACATTCTGCGAGATGCAGGGAGGAGCTCATCAGCCTTGGGAGGAGCTCAGGCGCTTAAAAAAGCGCGATGACCGGGGGGGTGCCACAAAGGTGTGGCGGAGAGGTGCCGCCGCGGTGCCCACCGGTGCCCGCAAGGTGCACCGGCCTTGGAAGCCCGCCCGCCGGGCCAGCAGCCGCCAGCGCCGCCGCCACCCTGCTGGCCACGCCCGCGCGCACGCCGCTCGCGCCATCCTCCTGACCACCCTCTGCGCGCGCACAGTTGCATCCGTTTTGCCGCGCGAGCCATGGTGAGGCCAAAAAGACAACTCGGGCAACACATAATATGTATGTATGTAGGAAGGTGAAGAACAGTCAGGCTCGGACTGGACACCGACGCGGTATGGGTGGACGCTAGACAGATGATGACGACACGCACGAGCGACACACAGACACAAACAAGCTCACAAGACACACAGCCAGCGGGCTGCCACACACCCTGAGTGGGCGTACACATCACTCAGGCCACGTCCCCCTGTCGCCCCCCCCAGCACTCCAAGGTGCCAAGAGACAAACAACAGCACAACAACACTACGAGTAAGGGCTTTAGCCCGGCACGACTTTCTTTACTGAGAGCAGTCGTCGTGCGATTACTCTTACGGAATTGGCAATCCGTCCAACTTTTACCAACGAACGTTGGCGACGAACTCCACTATGCGCGGCCGCGAGCCTTCTCGCTCGCCGCCCGACGGAGTCACGACGTTTGCTCCGACTGCGCCCAGCGCGGCTCTGCGCCGCCCGCGCGTCGGTTGCGCTGCGCCTCGCGCAGCTCGTGCGTCAGGCGGCTCATGCCCGCCTGTTATGCAACGCGCCTGTCACAGGCATGCTGCTGCACCTTCTGACAGCAGACTCACCCAGCCCAGCGACGAGGAGGCTACAGATCGCTCCTCCTCCCTGCCTTCCACACGCGTGATGGCACGCATGACCACGGCACGCAACGTCGCGGTCGCGACAATTCAGATCAATGCGTATTGCATACGCCAGAGCCCAGCTTTGCTTTGGCCTGTGCTCTTCCACTTTGAGTGAGGACGTCTGCCCTGTGTGCGACGATGCGACAATGAATAGTATGTGCCGCCATGAGCCCCGACCTGCGGGGCTTGCGAATGCGCCAAGGAGTGCGGCCACAGAGTGTGGTGCACCTGCGATAACAGCACCCCTCCTTTGGCGATGATCCAGAGCAGGAAAGACTGGCGGGCGAAAACAATAAATAAAAAGCAAAAGCGCCGCATGGGATCTGATGAAGGAACTGGCCGACACGACGCTCTGGCGTCGCCTGTCGTCGACCAGCCATGCCCACCACCCGCGGTCAGTCTCGCCGTGCACGCGCCCTCGTGGTGCCTGCCGCTACTGAGGCCCTCGGCTGTATCGACACCGTCGCTGAGATCCTGGGCTGGCTCAACATGGACGAGGTCTCGCGGCTCAAGGCCGTGCACTCTGACTGGGCGCGTGCCGCTCGGCGGCTGCTCGTGAGCGTCATGTACCTGGGTCGACAGCCTCTTGGCACGCTACTCAGGAACTGGCGACCCCATCGACACTGGCCGTGCGACGCCGCACTGCTCTCTCGCATCGCCACGCACCCAGCCGAGGTTGCATTGGACGTTGGGGCCACAGCTGAGGGAAGCCCAGCCCGAGCGAGCAGCTGGTCGTGGCTCAGCGAGGAGTATGAAATGCCCCCGATTCATTACGCCTTGTGCGCCTTGTCATGTCGGCCCCAGTCAGAAGATGTGATTCGCGCACTGATCTGCGCCGCCCCGACCATGGTTTCAGAGACGGATGGCCGAGGTCGCCTGCCTCTTCACTATGCGGCGAGAAACTCGTTTGTGAGTCTCGAGATCGCGGAGGAGCTGTTGCGTGTGCATCCTGACGCGGCCAACCAGAAAGAGAAAGATTGCATGAATGGGGGACCTGCGGTCGTCCCTAACTCGTACCCTGCGGATCTGGCTATCACGTGCATCTGCTCGACGACCGTGGATAAATATTGCACGCTGGTCGCGGCGATGACCGTGGACGGACGAGCGGAGCACGCGCCCTACATGGCAAAACTACTCACTCAGCAGAGTCCGCTGATGAGCTGTGGTGCGTGGGGTTTGTTGATCGACAGACTCGTTTACCTCAGCCGTCCGGGGGACGGGCTCGCAGACATTGCGACAGCGCTCGCCAAAAGCGTCGTAGACGGGTGCTGGCGCGAAATTGACAGAGACGTGCGCCAACTATTCACAGCACTGACGTGGGCGGAAGCATGCGAGCTCTTTGGCAAACCCAAGGCGCTTGAAGTCTTCGACAGTCGACAGCTTGGTGCCCGCGGCAAGTTGGATGAAACTCGCCTCGACCTGCGTCTTCGGTGCAACGCATCTTTACAACAGTACCCGGAACTCCTCGAGCCGATGCGAAAATTTGTGCGCGGCGGGCGGCCGTCGCTGCCATGGGACAAGGCATAGGTCTTTCGCGCCGGTCAGCGATGTCCTGTTCCTTATCTGCCACCCGGCTCGTTGTCGTTGAGGTTCCTGTTGAGCGGACTGCTGACTGCCTGACTGTAGAATATCATCCTAATACCAACCACCACCACCACCACCGTCACCGTCTGTCGAGCTTTGTCCATTCTGCGTGAGAACTCCTCGAGGAGGACTCGAGAGGGGACTGCATGTGCATAATAATTTTTTGTTAGTGCCCAGTTTTGTGCGACAGACTTCAGAATTTCGCGCGTCCCAAGCTAGGGCTGGGTCGAGGACAGGCACGTCCCCTCCCAAAAAAGAAAACGGACAACCCAAGGGAGGGATGGGAGGACGGCACGCCGCCACCACACAGGGATTTTAAGGAGAGGAGTGTGGTGCGCTAGCCGTCGCCCACCCTTGGGCGCGTCCGCCTCTTCCTATCTCTCTTCGCAATCTCTCTCCGATCCACGTCCCCACCTGTGCAGGATTGTGCCAAGTTCGAATAGTTAGAGGCTGCGGGAGGCGTTGCTTTCTTTTGCTTGTTATCGGTTTGAAGCTGGCAAATCTTTTATTTCAATTCTTTTCTTTAAAAAGAATAATGGAGATCCGAGATGGCCCGAGATCGCCCGAGATCGCTCGGCGCGGCCCGAGGCGAGGTGGATGGGTTGGGAGCGAGGGGGCGGAAGTGACCAGTGCGGTAGAGGGTCAGCTCGGGGCGCGTGAGCCGGACTTGTGAGCCGGACGTCTTTCATTTTCTCTGTGTGAGGGCGTGAAGAGGGGAAAAGCGCTGCTTTTCTTTTTTACTATGTAAGGCAGGCTTCGCAGAGGGGAAATCTGTACTCTCTTCTGTACTTTGAGGACGGGTACTTACAATATATAACGTCCCCAAAGTACAGCAGAGAGTACAAAAATAGATATGTAGGAAAGCTTGCGTCATCAGAGAATCTCGCGAGGATCTGGCGCGCCTCAATTGAACGAACGCCGAGCGACGCTCCCGGCGTGCGGATCTTGCTTGACAGGTGCCTCGCTGCGTGCGCCGCTGCGCCTGCGCTCGGCCCTCGCTGCCTGCGCCTGTCTGTCAGCCTGGACACGCTCGCGGCGCTCGCGGCGCAGTCACTGCGGCTGGTCTGAGCGGGCGGCATGCCGCGGCTCCACACTGCCACTGCACAAACTCTAGGCAGAGAGGAGCCAGTACTCCTCTGTTCAACGCATAGGCCATCGCAACTCGACCCCTGCCACCGCGCTGGCGCGTGCTGCCGCTCCTGTCTGCGCGACAGTTCCGATGAAACCGTGCTCCCCTCCCGTGACGGCCCGAGCCTCAACTCCAGGCTCAGCTGAGAGATACACTGCTACTGGTGGCTGAGCGTCGGAGGTGCCCTCTCAGCTATGTGTCTTGGTCCGTGAGGACAGTCTGCCAGCTCCCCTGGTCATGCGCTCGCCGTCTCGGCCGATCGGTCCCCGGCGGCCGTATTTGTGTGTTGCAGCTGCGGCCTCGCAGTAGCCTTGCCGGGCTGCCCCCAGCGAAAGATAACTTCAACATTCACTTCAACACTGGCGATACGGCAGCCGCTACACGCGCATAGGTCATACTCAACACGTGGGCAGCCTCCCCCCCCGTGAAAAGTCCATGAGTCGCCGTCAGGCCGTCGGACTGGCGCCACTGGCGGTGCAGCAGTGATTCCCGCAAGTCGCCTTGGTGCTCGCGATCGCCCTCGCCGCCCCTCATCTCGCCCCCGGGCCAAGCCTCCGGTGCCGTGTCTACCCCACAGCCCCCAATTTGGACGCCCGAGGCTCGGCTGTGTC